GTGCCAAGTGCTTGGCGGCGGCGTTGCTGGCCCCTGCCGCTAGGCCTAAAATAGGGTTTGCATAAGGATGTGTAGGGATAGTACCCCAGAAATGGAGGAACATACGGAAAAGAAAGTCAACAAAGTGGAAGCTGGATTTGCATGGTGGTTAACAGGGATGCAGGTTTTGCAGGGATCAAAGCTTTGCTTGTTCCCCTCATAATGATTGTAGTATGAAACGCCTCTATACCGTATATACCCCCCATGTACCCGAACAATCAAAACTTGAGTCACGCTGCCAAGCCCGTTGTCCAATCCTATCCAGCGCCCTATTGGAAACCTCCAGACTGGACGGTAGGAATTGGCGATGGCGCTTGTCCACTTCTTGCCACACCCCAAAATGCTGACTTTGTGTGGTTCTTGCTGCTGGCAAAGAAACACTGGCACTTATGCTCAGCAAATGCTGAATGCAAACCTGCCTTTGGCAGTCCTGCTCTTTCTCCAGCCTCCGTCAAGTGCATAGGATGGGCTAGCTACATCAACACACACACACACAGCCAAGCGAACTGTTGATGCTTTGTGGCTTTGTGGTTCTAGGCGCCTGCGCAAACCAGCACCACTGGGAGTTGCCACTGAGGTCACTTGCCCTTGCGATAAGTGACATCTTGCAGAATCAAAGCTTGGGAGACGAGCAGAGATCACCAGACCTTGACTAGCTGGCGCCGAGGCTGCGCTCCTCTGCTTGCAGATGGGAACGGAATATGGCGCAATGTGCTAACAGGCTGTATCGGGCAAAGTGATGTGTCCTGTGCAGAGCTGTATGTTGAGAAGTTGGCCAGTGCTCATGACAGCCCTTTGACTCATGAGGCTCCACCGATTGCTTGCAGCACTCCGACGGATAGTGATCGGGGGTGGATGATGTTCACACAGTGGCCGGATGAAATAGGGTTCTGTAATGCCTGGGCGGGCACATGGGAGGCGCTGGTTGACCAGCATTCCCGCTCTCTCATGGGCAGTGACAGAATAGAATGCACGTTTAACATGGATCTGACAAGCTTTATCACTGGTCTGAGTGTGGATGCTTCATATAAGTTGGGTGGCCTCAAGGCCAAGATCCCAAACCAACAGGCAACTCATTACGATCACCGCGGCATACTTTGCATGGGCAAGCTGCTTCAAAATGGCCGTGCCTTCTCCAATGACGGCAGCCAGAAAGACAACACGGCCCACTTAGCGCCATGCCCGCAGGGTGGCATGCAGACTTTGACGAATGTTGGCACTGGCATGACTATCGCCTTGGATGTGGAAACCTCGGACACGTTTCACAACAGCAAGGACAAGATCCAAGAGAAAGATAACATCCACTTTGGCCAGCGCTGCTTGATTTTAGCTGGCAAAGACTTGGGCAAGCTCTTAACCTTTGACCCTGGTGGTTTGGGACGTATGTCTTTGGCTGTGAAGGCCCCAGTGAATGCCAAATACGCCTTTGGCACCCGGAAGGACGAGATCAGCAACCCTGGTGGCAAACAAGCACTTTGAGAACGGCGGCATGTTTGTTGCTGGCTGGCAGGGTCATCAACTGTGTGAAGGCAAGGGCTCAAGACTATGAGAACATCTCTCCCGTGAGGCTGGGGCCTGCGTCTGTAGCTCTGGATCCAGGCGATATCTTTGTGGGCAGTCAGGCTCCAATTTTTTGATTGAGGGAAAGCTTCAGTCGAAGTTGGGCGCTGATGGCGTTATACGTTTGTTGAGGGGGTGGAATTTTGGAGACGGTTTTTCCTGGTGTTGCCAGACCGGTTAAATCTCCATTGACCCATCTCCCACAGTTCTGGCCGCTTTGCCACTTTCGGTTTCGTGCACGTGTTCAGGGAAGGGTCGGTAGGATGCGCCGCTCTGTGGAGGGTTCTTTCAGTGCCTGCTATTGGCCTAATGCACCGCATTGAGGATTCCCTGCTCTAGCTCCGGGGTTTCGCTGATTTCTGTTCCGGGTGTTATAAAGTAGACCCCGAGTACATACAGCGGCCCCGTGAGCCTACCCAAAACCTGCATGTTCGAATTCAGGCGTGCATCACCATGACTCTTACATCCTCTGCACAAACCCTATAAGCCCTAAACCCTAAACCCCAAACCCCAAACTCAAAACTCAAACCCCAAACCCTGAACCCCTAAACGCCTAAACCCTTAAACCCCTCAACCCTAAACCGTAAACCCTAAACTCTAAACTCTAAGCCCTAAACCGCGTGGTCTACCTTCTATCGCGATAGCAAACACAGATTGCTACTTGTCTACATGTGTTTCGTATCGCGATAGAGAAACAACCTACTATGGATCGCTTCAAGGTGCAGTAGAGCCAGCTTTCGTTCTAGATTTCCAACCATTTTCCAA